AAACATAAGGAAACACAAGATCAAAGGTGTTTACGGTCCAAGATGTTCTTGGACCGTAAACCCTAATAAAGGGGCCAAAGTGTGCTCTAGTCCTTTACCAAGCCTTGGAAACTAGTCTAGATACCATCCTTAAAGTGCTTAGGACCTTAAACATCAAAAATACCATAAACCCTTAGGGTTTACGGCCGTAAACCCAAGGAGAAGTGGTCCAAGGACCGTAAACTCCACAAAGGAGTGAAATGGTGCCCTAATCTTTTCCTAAGGCTTAAACATGAAGTAGGAATGCTTCTTATGATCTTTAAAGCTTCAAAACACAAAATGGTAAAAGTACCATGAGTTTACGGCCGTAAACTCATGGGTTTACGACCGTAAACTCAATGTGAGTTGGTCCCAAAACCGTAAACTCCAAAAGAGTTTACCCTTGGACCCCAAACTCAATAGCAATGTCCTACAACCCTTAGATGCAATCCTTAGTACTTATAACACTTAAATAAGGTGTTTTACATGTCTTAGGATGTCTTAACTTGGTTAATTAGTTGTTTAATGACTAATTGGATACATATATGTGTTATTATATGTTAACTAGGATCCTTGTGTGTGTTCAAGTCTTCACTTGACACTTAGCATCCTATACATTCCGTTCATTCAAACCACTCGCTACAGGTGAGTTCAGACCCCCTTAATTAACCTTTTAAATGTTTTTAAATGCTTTTATGGGGGGGGATACAAGTTGAACAATTATAGTTATTATATCAATCACATGTGATTAATAACTACCAAACAAGTGGATTTCTTACTTTCAAACTGTGTTACCAAACTGTTTTACTTCAAATTGTTTTATAAACTCTTTTTCATATCAAATACTTTTATTAAACTCTTTTAACTTATATTATGTGTATCTATGTAGATATAGTTATATAAGTAGGATTGAAAGGACTTAGGACTGATAGCTCACCTTACTTCCTGTTCCTTGTTTGGTTGTGGACTTAGGGTATTCAGGTTATTTGTCCGAAGGTCGTTTGAATCCTAGTTATATATCATGTATATGTGTATAGATATAAAAGGTTACTTCATTCAGTTCAATACCTTTGGGTAGCAAAGGTACACAAACATGTTCATACATTCAAACAACATTACTAGTAAACTATAATAGGTATAGTTTAGGGAGATACTAATACTATTACTAGAATAGGGAAACATACAATGAGTCAGTTCATACATGAGTCAATAACAAACAAACAATAGATACTATGATGAGAAACAAACAATAGATACTATGATGAGAAACAAACAATAGAATACTATGATGAGAAACAAACAATACATGCTAGACAGGGAGAGAACACAATACAGCTAGCACATACATATACTAGAACATTATTACATTTATGTGAGCCACGTAACGGGGCATGACACTACCTGTCATGACCGTTTTGTATCCAGAATCTCCTTAAGTGGGGAGCGTATGAGTTTGTGTATAGATCTATACTTGATTGACTATCCTACACCTTGCTGCTCGCTACAGTGGGACTTGCAAGTCTACGGGTGCCAAACGTCATTTCTTACGACGTCTTACATCGTTGTTTTTCTATGAGTCGGTAGCAGGATACAGGCCGATCACATGGTACTTTAAATAACAATTGGTTTAAGGTAGTTAGTACAGCAGTAGTTACTTAATACAACACTATAGTACTATTTCATTTTCCCATTACATTTACTTTGTGATCTTCACACAATAAACAATAATGTAAAAACTATATTTTTGGTTAATGATAGTCGGAATAGGGAAAATACACACTCTTACAAGAGACACACACACAGATACTAGATGCCTTGGTAGAAGGCTACTTTTAGTAGGAAACATAGGGTTTTCTAGGGGAGTTCAAACAATTACAAACTTTTACAAACTTATACAATTACAGACTTACAAACACTTTCATGCAAATACATACATTAATATACTTATGATCTCACCAGCTTTAAAGCTGATAAACTCTTTCAAAATAACTTGTATTCTCAGGTCACCAGTAGACAGGTACCGGTGCCAGGTTTTGAGAAGATGGAGCTCATTCAAGACTCATCTTTTATTTTGATGTATATTTTTGGTGTCTATATAACTTGACAGAACACACTTGTATGAAATTATATTATTAATGCAATTGATGATGTTGTTGCTTGTTTACTACTTTGCATTGTTGTGATACTGAACATGACGTCCTCCACCCCCGAACGATTCCGCCGTTCCGATTTTGGGGTGTGACAGATATTGTATACTATATAGAGCCTTTTCCTTAAAACAAAGACCGGGAAACAAAGATTTCCCAAACGAAAAGTCACATATTCGTCCCCAGCACCCGTGCTCAAATGGGTTTGTATTCTTGAGTCTTAATAAAATTGGATGCTTGAACAATATCAATTTTTGAAACAAACATGGATATCGCAAAATCGATTAATGGGTTTGTATATTTAAACCATTAACATACACATCTCCATGTATGGGCTTTCATCAACAAACAATATACACATGGATTTGCATGTTTGAACTGGATGAAGATGATGAACAATTGTGCTTTAGTTTTCCATTAGTCAAACCTTCGTTCTTTGAAAATGGTTTTCAATGGAGATGATTCCATGTTATGAACAAGAATAAGACAACAACCCATTGATGAAAATGATTCCAGATTCAAACTAAATTTGACCCTTGAATGTTGTTCAACTCCCTCATATGCAAATGAAACCTATAGTGAATCCTTGATGTTCTTTTTTGCAAATGAAAATGAGTGTTGAAGATAAAGATAGAACCAAAAGCCACATAAAGTAAAAAAAATGGTATAGATAGAACAAAGTAAGAGTAGTTTGATAGTTTATAACTGTGTAAGATCTGACTGGGTTAGAAGATGACTAGGTTAGAAATGTTGACTGAGTTTATGTTGTTTTATTATTTCTCTGACTGGTTGTGCCAAATGATAAAAATGAGCATATTACCCTTATTTTGTATTTTTTTTTGCTTATTCGAATATAATTCAAACATAAATCTGATTTCAACTTATTTTTGCCAACATCCTACCTAATAAATGAAAGTTTTCTACCACATGTCATCACCTAATTCAATATGTCACACATCATTTTTTTAATTTTTTCAATTTCATTTAAATACACTTGACAAATTGTGGTTTTTTTTTGGCTTTGTTAATAAATTTAAAAAAAAAATCTAATCTAACAATATAATAAAGAAAATAAAGAAATTTAAATGACATCTTAAATTCTAATGCAATTTGTCAATTAATGTAATAAATTCAATTTAAATTCAAATCAACATTCCTAATTGAAAACATAATTTCCGGCTAATCCCTTTTGATTTCACGATAATTTGCAAAAACTTTTCAAAAATTAGTTCATTCACAACAAATATTGATATCATTTCCAAATTTAGTTTTGTAAATTATGTATAACTACAATCTCATTCATATGTCGTATTTTATCATTTATATATTTTTGTCGTTATGTAAATTATTGCTAAAAAGCATGTAATGCTTAATAATATATATTAATTTAAAAAAAAACATGTGTGTTAGACGTGTCTCACACCTAGTTTACAACATACAACATGTACAACATATTATGATTTCATACAACAATTCAATAAATTCTCATTTCATGCAACATTTCATACAACAAATTCTTATTTCATACAGATATCATATAAACTTTCAAAAAAATTTAATTTCATGAAAATATAATTGATTTCATAAACATATAACCTCACATTATGCATATAAATTCGGAGCACAAAATTTGATTTCATAAGATTTCAACATTTTTTTTTCATGATCACAAAATCTGATTTCAGAGCTTACAAATCAAGTTATCTCAAAAAACAAAAAAAAACATAAAATTAGCGTGCATACATGTGGAAGGCCGATAGAAGATGATGAATGGAGGCAGAGGGTGATGGTGTCGGTGGAAAAGGCTAAGGAACACCGGAGACGCAGAAGTGGAGAAGGAAGGGAAGCGAAAATCTGATTTTTCCTTAATGTTCGTCAATCGTGATTTCAGGGAAAAAAATCAAAAACTTATGTTCCTTACCTATGCTATTCTGGAAGGCCGACAGGCAGTTTCCTTTTTCTTTCTCCCTTGTAGCCGTTACCCGAATTCGTGCAAGTGTGTCCACACCCCCCAAACTGACTTGACGAGGAATTCATTCTCGCGAACAAACACAACTAAACGACGACAGAGGTTGATGGCATCGCTGGTAGAGGTTGACGGCGTCGCCGGCAGATGCATACGTGAGGAAGGAAGCGAGTGCAAAGCTGCTATTCGTCTTTTGTTCGGTTTTTTTTTTTTTTTTTTTTTTACTTTAGGGCACAGGGGAAAAACATGGAAGAAGTTTATTTTGTTTGGGCCAACCACTAAAAAAGAGTGGTGTGGACCGAGTCAGGTTCTTGGTCAGCAACAACTGACCGAGTGAGCCATATTTTTAGTTTATGACTGGCTGATGCCCGAATCAGCAGTCAATTCTGACCAGACCTTTTAAGTGGAAACCAAACAACCCTTTATTTTATTGTGGGACCCAAAATGTTTAGAAAAAAAAAACAAACAAAGAAACAACTCTAACCAACAAAATATTGGTACTTTTGACCATTTTTAATTATGGTATTCTTGTTTAAAATTTATTGATTACAGATTCTTTTCATAAATAACTAGAAAATATATTCTATATAATGAGATTTTATCATGTTTAACTTTTTAGTTTTGTAAATAATAAATTTATGATTAAAATTTGTTATTATATATAATCATGTTAAGACCTATACATTGTCTTTACATATAATATAAAAAAATTCATAGGAACATGCATTTCATTCCTACATACCAATCAAACGTCATCATTGAATATAGGAATCATTTTTATTACTGTGACCAATTCTATTCTTTTGTGATTCAATTGCATCCAACGATATAGTCCTCTGGGTAGTATTTGATTTGTTGTCTCCATAACCTCAAAACTGTCCATTAGCACGAAGTTCATAAAACCTATACCAAGTCATTGATCTCGTGTTGCATTAGAAATTCAGAATATGCATGAAATTCATATATATGCAATATTTACATCTCATCTTTAACAAATATGATTTCAGCTTCTGTTGATGCTCGTTTAAACCTCAATAACTCGATCAAAAAGCTTGATCTGTCCTTGGTACTCATGTACACTCTCGGGGTGATGCTCATGGTCTTAAGAACTGGTGAACTCTCAAGCAGAAACCCTATCAATCTAATCTCGAGTGGAATACCATGCATATGTGTCATCTTTACCATCTTAAGCCTTTCAAATGTGGAGTCAGAGGGGCATTCCTTCTCCCAGAAATCCAAAGCGGGAGCTTCTGTTGCAGTTGATGACACCCATGCACCCTAATTTGTTTATTTTAAAAAAAAAAAAAAAGTTAATAAAAAAACATCAATGTTTAAGGTCAAATGGGCTACTTTTTCATCTTCAAATTGATAAAGATTCTATAAATTATCAAGTAAGCTTCATAAGGAAACAAAAAATTCTAAATGAATACCACAATAGAATTTGAAGATGAAATCTACTTGTTGTTTAAACTCACCGAAATTTGAAGTTCTTGAAGATTAGGGGAATTTAAAATCAAACGAAGAACCACCATTACTTCTTTAATGTTCTTAAAGCTTACGTCATAGAGTTCAATAACCTTTAGTTGTTGGTACTTCATTTGTGTTTTCCCGAAGGTGTTACCTATACTCATATACTGGATAACAAACAAAAAAGCAATTCATCAGCCAACAAAATTAACAAATGGAGATATATAATATTATAATTAACATGAAAGTTAGATCAACATCTTACAAGCGTAAAGTAATAGCGTCCGATAAACCTCTCAAGGGACAATGCCCCACCAAGAAACTTGTCAAAATTACAACTTGAACTTTGGTCGAAATGTTGGACAATTATATTGTTCATGTATAGATTGACACATATAGCAACTAACTTTGCAGTATTCTCCAGAGATAATTCTTTAAAATTACCTTCCAAGATTAAATCCTTTAGGTTTGGAGCACGAATTGTGAGTTCTAAAACATCATTAGACAATAAATTCAAGCTCTCAAGAAGCGGGCAACCTGAAATAAGAGTCTGAATAGCATCTGGAGCAATACTAACTTGTTGAAGAATAAGGTGTTTCAAAAATGGGAACCCTTTAAAAGATAATGGAGGGGGCAACTCCCAATTAACAATCTTCAAACGAACCAGTTTTTGACAAGAATAAAGACACGAAGGTGCTCTTATAAACAACTTGTTTTTAAACTCAAGAACCAATTCTTTAACATCTTTTCTTGATAAGAAAAGCAGCCATTGATCTATATTGGGGGAGCTTCGTAGATAAGTAGTAGATAAAGCGAACCCATTGATTGGACTATCGTGAAGAAAAAGAAACCGATTGATAAAATTTACGAGATTGTTCTTTGCAAGTGATCTATCTCGAGTCCCGGATACACATTTATCATCAAACTTAAGGCGTGTAAGTGTAGCCCATTTGTATCTCCATTTAGAAGATAATATACTTGTTTTTACAGCATCTCTTAATGGCATCTTTGTGAGTATGGTTTCGATAATACTTTGAGGCAGATCGCTTATATGATCTTTCCTGAACCGAATTCCCCTCCTTCCCATCTTGTTCCTTATGCTCTACAAAACAATGACTTAATTTTTATGTCATGTACATTTTGTTAATTTTAATATTAAGTTTTAAAGATGGTCCATTTAGACTCAAAAGTTAAACTTTCAATCCTTATTGGAAGGAGTAGTTGTACGAATGCATATTAGGGTTTATACACAATTTATTAAGAAGAATTACTTTAGGGTCTCAAATTACTATTCTATTAACAAATTTCGTCCAAATAAACAAAATCGATAACCCGAATGGTTAGCTTTCCATTAAAAAACGAGAATGAGCATATGTTCATATGAAATCAAAACGTAAACATACTACAAAAGGACACTAATTCATACAATTAAGAAAATCCCTAAGCTTTAGGGACATGATCTACAGAACTGAAAAAAAAAACGTAAGTTCTTTAGATATCAAACAAGCGTGCTAGTGAATTGAGTTTTTTTTTTTTTTTTTTTAACCCAAATTGCAAACTTTAGAAGAAGCCAGGGAAGGAGAAACGGTAATGATGAAGCCTTTTTTGAAGAAAACGCATATCATAACATAAAAAAATCAGGCATCTAGTGCTATTGCAAAAAAGAAAAAGATTGACCAAAATAGACGTAAAAAGAGGAGATTCGTACTCTGTGGTTCTGATATGATCGAGCGGCAGGAAAGCGAAAGAAGTATACCGGTTTTCCTTTTAAGCACGGGCCACTTTAAAGGCCTTATGGTAAACAAACGGGACCTGTTAAATTGGTTTTACTTTTTAGTAGCCTCTAATTATATTATATCCCTAATAGTCTAATGCTAACAAAACCCAAAAGTACCTGTGTTATTCGGATTTATTGGGTTTTGTTTAATTGGTTTTTGACTTCCAAAACTCACAAATACAAATGTTACATATAATATTATAGTTTCATAATATGTTTCAAGATAACTTTTTACATCAATTTTTTTAATTTGGCACATAAAAATATTATTTAAAGTTGTTAAAAATAATTTAATTATTTTCAACAATATATTATTGTTGTATTTTAACTAAATAATTTTATTTTACAAGGAAACAAACCATTCACTCAATACATATACATACGTACATACATACATATATGAAAACATGTAACATCCTTAAAAAATTTCAAATAGTAATTACACGCTTTGGAACTAAGGTTGGAACTTGTTAGATGAAAATGCAAGTCATAAGAGATTGAGAAATTCATATAAATGGACAAGATTTACCCCTAATCTTGAACAAATATCATTTCAGCTTCTGGTGATGCTCGTTTAAACTTTGTTAACTCAATCAAAAACATTAATCTGTCCTCAGTCATATACACACTTGGGATGATGCTCATAGTCTCAAGAACAGGTGAATTTCCAAGCATAAATCCTATGAATCCAATTTCATGTGGAACTCCAGACATATCCATCATTTTCACCATCTTCAAATGTTCAAATTTGGAGTCAAACTCGCATTCTTTCTCCCAAAAATCCAAATCCGGAGCTTCTCTTGCAGATGATGAATTCGATGAACCCTAAATTATATCCCAAAAAAAAAAACAAGAAAATCCATGTTTAGAATCAAATGTGTTGCTTTTCATCTTCAAGATTGATAAAGATTCTTTAAACTCACTGCAATTTGAAGTTCTTCAAGATTTGGAGAATTTAGAATCAATCGAAGAACCACTTTTAATTCTTTCATGTGCTCAAAGCTTACTTGAGAGAGCTCAATAAACTTAAGCTGTTCATACTTCATCTCTGTTTTTCCAAAGGTGTTGTTACCTATACTCATATACTGAATAACATACAAAAAAAAAAGTAATTCAACAGCCGATAAAATCAATAAATGAAGTTATATAATTATATCAACATCTTACTTCTGTAAAGTAACTTCTACCAATGAGCCTTTGAAGAGAAGGTATGTTTCCAAGAAACTTGTCAAACTTACAACCTGAACTTTGACCAAAATGTTGGGCTAAATCATCGGTCATATACATGGAAACAGTTATAGCAACTAAATTTGGAGCATACTCAAGACATATGTCTTTAATCTCACCTTCCAAGATTAAAAACTTTAGATTTGGTGAACAAATTGTAAGTTCTAAGCTATCATAATACGATAAATTCAATGTCTCAAGAAGAATGCAACCCGAGATAAGATTCTGAAGAGCTTCTGAACCAATAAGAACTTGTTGAAAGCTAAGGTGTTTCAAATATGGGAACCCTTTAAAAGATAATGGCGGGTTTAAAGCCCATCTAAAAAGCTCCAAATTAACCAACTTTTGACATGAAAAAAGACAAGAAGGTGCTTTAAACCACTCGCCACCTAATTCAAGAACCAATTCTTTAACATCTTTTCTTGATAAGAAAAGCAGCCATTGATCTAAATCAGGGGAGCTTTGTAAATAAGCTGTAGATAGAACAAATCGATTGATAGGACCATGGTGAAGTAGAAGAAATCGACTTATAAACTTTGCAAGTGATCTATCTCGGGTCCCGGATGCACATTTATCATTGAACACAAGGTGTGTAAGTGTAGCCCATTTGTATCTCCATTTAGAAGATAATATACTTGTTCTTACAGCATCTCTTAATGGCATCTTTGTGAGAATGGTTTCAATGATACTTTGAGGAAGATCAGTTAGATAGTCGACTCTAGAGGTCATTTTTCTTCGCATTTGTCCCTCTTCCCTACAAAACAATGGCATACATTTATGAAGGAGTGGTTGTAAGGAACTGCAAAAGGTATTAAAAAGAATCTCTTTAGGATTCCAAATTCGTAATCTATAATATTGAAAGGCCAATTTTGGAGGTCGAAAAACTGGATGAGTTCCATTGTAATAATCATTAGGTTTAGGGTTCCACATCCCTAATCTATAAACCAGTGACGAAAATGGACTCCATATAAATAAAATCAATTACCCATGATACGTGTGTTCGTATGAAATCAAAACTTAAGCAGAGTAAGTGACAAAAGAACAGAATTCATACGATTAAAGAAAACCCTAGCCCTATAAGGGACATGATCTACAAAACTCGAACAAAAAAAAAAAAAAAAAAAATTCTTTAGTTATCAAAGAGGCCTGGCGTCGAAATGAGATTTTTTTTTTCTATCCAAATTGCAAACTTGAGAGAAGCCATAGAAGGAGAAACAGTTATGTTCAAATCTAGAAAAAAAACGTGACCATATCAGAAAATAACAGCCGCCTAGCTACTGCAGAAAGAAAGAATTTTTACCAAATTAGATGTGAAAGAAGGAGATTCGTGCTATGATTAAGACCGATGATCCTTAATGGTTCTGATATGAGATGGAAGCGAAGCTGCGAAAGAGAAGAAGGATGAAAGCATCTAATACAAAGATGATATACAGCGTTATATACCCCATTTCCTTTTTTTGTACGGACGGCCGGTCTAATGAGAGACGACCGTACAGGTCTAAGACGATCAGTTATAAAGCGGTCCAGACGGTCATAGGTCAAACTACCCATTTGCAAAACCGTCGGTCCTATATAGGGTCAAAAACCCATTACCCGTTACGGGGTTATTTTTATAATGTTTTTGGGTTGGGGAGCAAGTACCCCGTATAGTCGGGGACAGAAGTGGGGCAAGGACTTTCGTTCCGAATTATAAGATATTAAACTGGTAATACATTGATGCTCAACAGGGGTGGAGCCCTCCCTGAATTTTTGGTTATAAATAGTCCTTTTAGTTTCATTTTATACATTTTAGACCCAAAACTATAAAATTTTGGCTGTGGCCCCCCTGCTTATCAATTTTTATACATATTATATTTCCGGCCCCCCGAATCAATCGTTGAAGCTCCGCCCCTGATGCTCAAGACCAAACAAACGAGGAACAGGAAAAACTGTGACACAATATGTTATTGTTATAGATCTCTATCTAAACTAACAAATACATGTCCTTATTTATACTAATGAAAGCAGTAACCTAAACCAATATGTAATACTTGTTAAGCAAGCAGACAACTTCCTAATCTAAATCAAATGCTAAAAATAAAAAGGTTTTTCCCAAAATACCCATGCACTCATAAATCCGATTAACCCAACAATCAACCCCTTAATCGGATTGGTCATACCTATTGTTCACAACAGTGTTGAATCACCGTCTTCCCGAACCATCCCGACTTTTCCCGGACACCCAACATCCATCTCGGTCACGTCCAAAGTCCTCCATACCCTTTTGATTGTTCATAACACACGTAACATGTAACATGGCATCTCGTTGGATATGTTCATTACCATCTAGACTTTTCCCAGATGCACGACCTCTCCCCGGCCAGATCCAAAGCCATCCATTTTTAACTTCCATCGCCATAATGTTCACAACGTGTTGTTTCTCCAATATCTTCCTTTGTTTCGATTATCATTCTTCAAATAGGCATCTCTACCGACTAAGAAAACAAAGCCACCCGCTCCACCATTTTCTTTCAATCTGCCAAACGAACTGAATCCAAAGCTACCTGCTTTGACGGATCCTTCCTGCCCGCTTTTCACGCGCCTACGTCGGTATCCCCTTATCACGAACAAACCGATCAAGAACTATGCAATCCCTTTGAGTTTTCTGCTTTCTGATTTCAACCGATCAACATCCTATTATCTCTTTTCACCACCCCCAACCTTTTCAATCAAGCTTGTTCCGAGAGTAGGCATGGAAATTTCACCCGACCGAGTGGGAAACCCGGTTAACCCGCCCCAATCGGGGACGGGTATTCCCCGCAAAAATGGGTGTCGGGTATGGGGTTGGGGATCCCCATTATGCTAAAACCGGGGATGGGGCCGGGGCCGGGTATACCAATCCCCAACTCACCCCACCCCCGCTTTGATGAGATTATATATATATATATATATATATATATATATATATATATATATATATATATATATAATATATATATATATATATATATATATATATATATTGATAATCAACCACTTGGGTTGTGGTGACTTGGTAAGGCATGTGGAAGATATGGTGGATAACATATTGACCCATGTTCAAATCCTGGCACCACTCAGCCCTTGTGGCCATGGAGGTTCGCTTGCAGTGACTCTAGGGCATGAGGCAAAGCCTCATGTTTGTAGCGGGGGATTAGTCGGTGCGCGAAAGCTGGCCCGGAAACCCTCGTTAGGGAAGTTCCCTTTCCAAAAAAAAAGTATATTGATAATTTATTGAATATGAAATAAGTCTACTAAGAATGAATTGATTTGTATTAGACCATCAGAGACAGTTTCTATACCAAATTATGTTCCTAATTCCAAGAGTTATTAAATCATCATTTTGTTCAACGGTCCGTATACCAAATCGCCATTTCTTGTTTTGATGCTAATTAGACTTTATGATTGATATAATCATTATCTAATTATGGCCTCTGTTTTTTATCACTTATTAAACCTGATTTTTTTTTGCGTAAGTTGAGTTTATTATCTTGATAGATCGGGGATAGGTTAGGGATAGGTCAGGGATGGGCCGGGGAAAAGCCCAAAATTTAAAGGGGAGAGGATTCGATTCCCCGCATCCGTTTGGGGATGGGGATGGAGATGCGGACAAGGTTAGCCCATCAAGCATATGATGGATTTGGACCATACTAGCAATGCAAATGGGTCACTAAGCCCTAATAGCATGTAAAAGTCATTGAGGGTCCAATAGGCATGTAATTGGGTCACCGGAAGCCCAATAAACATGTATTGATTTTATTGGGCCCAATAATCATGAAATTTGGTCACAAAGGCCCAATAAGCATGATAGAGAATGTTGGGCCCAAATCATTGTATCGTTTAGCTGTTTATCGATGTGTTTGTAGTATAGAATTCGTTTACGCTTAGTATTTACTTTCAATGGTAAAACATTTGACGTTGGATTTATAACGACACTTAGATTATAAACATATACTTTCATATATATATATATATATATATATATATATATATATATATATATATATATATATATATACTTAAACCCATACGCTATAAACTTAATATCTTTGGCCCAATTGTTTTAATATTAACATATTTGACCCCAAAATATTTATTTGACCATTTCATCCCGTTTTCATATAAAGTTACATCTTCAGCCCCTTTCTTAATAAAAATGACATTTTTAGTCCCTTTTGATGAAAATTGGCATTTTTGGTCCTTAACTCATTTTTCTTGGCATTTTCGGCCCAGAACATTATTTAAATTGTGATTTCAGCCCAAAAATATAATATTGAACATTTTCAGCCTTTAATTGTAAAAAGTTTACATTTTTGGCCCAAATTCCGTAAGTTTTACATTTTTGGCCTAATTTCCAAAAAGTTTGCATTTTTAGTCCAAATTTGCACTAAAATCGTTTTCAGCCCCTGAAATAGTTTATTTATGTTTTTGACCCATATTTTGATGAATTTACAATTTTAGTCCTCGAAAATCTCTATTTTTCACAACTTTGGGCCCAAAAACCGTGAGGCCCAATTCTTAAGCCCATTAATCATAAATTTATGTTTTTAGCCCCTTAAGAAGTATTATTTCCATAAAATCCGACTATTATATAAACAAATACCATTTTGTCCTTGTAAAACCGAAAAACATCATCTTTTAACCAAATCTTTGTTATTTTGCAAAAATGACACATATAGGAATATTTGGCTTTGTTTTTCACTTCTTAAACATAAAAACTCTTGGATCTTTGAAGTATGTTGTTTATTAGGTTATTTGTTTATGTATCTTTCACACTTTAGCCATAGATTTCGAGATATAGCAAATAACATCGTGTTTTCACAACACAAAACCAAAGAAATCACATATAACAAGCATACACACATAGATCAACACATAGCACTTTTATTCTCCCCCAAAAAACAAGTAAAACCCGAAAACAAGGGGGTATGAACTCACCTTGTTTAGTTGTTCTCGGTTTTGAAGAAGAAATGGAAGGAGTCTTGACCTTTAGCAAGCTTTCTTGAGTGATTTTCGGACTTAGAAGGTTTCTAAGAGTTAGATCATGAAGTAAAGCTATATAAGAAGGAGTTCTTAACATTAAGATGGAAAATAGATGCTTGTGTTTAATAACAACTTACCAAAGGTTGAGAACAAGCAAATTTCGAGATTTTGATGAAAGAAAGAAGGTGTTCTTGAGAGAATTTGGAAGTGTTTGAAAAATGAATTATGTGTGTGGGTGTGTTGATGCTCTCGGCCGAGAGTTAAAGGGAAAGAGAGAGGAGAGAGTCTTGAGGTGATAGATGCATGGGAACATGAGAATACTTGGTTAAATGGTGAGTAATTGTCTAATTATCCATTAAACAAAAATGATGTGTCATGGCTTAATAATCCTCATTAATCTCTTTTTTTTTGTTGGGCCGAAAGCTTGGGCTAGGAGAAAAAGTTGCATAGTGTTGGGCCATTAGTTGTCTTAGTTCGAAGTTTATAAGGCCCAACTTAGTATTTCCGGCCCATTGGGCTCCTAAGGTGGTTCACGGCCCATTATGGTATAAAAGAATGGATTTGAGCCCATTAAGGCTAATCAGATTTGTTGTGGCCCAACAAGGCCCATTAAAGGTAAACTAATCCATTTTAGACTTATAAGGCCCAAAAAGGTTAAGTCTCATGAGAGTGGGTCCAATTAGAGCCCATTTAAGAGTTCTAAGCCCAAAATAGTCAAATTGGAAGCTTATTGGTCCATTAGGCCCAATAAGGAAATCCTAGTCCATATTGGACTTAAACCAGGATTTTCAGGGTTTCCAATCTTTCGTTGACTATTTGAAGTGTTTGCATAAGGTGTTTGATGGAAATTTTGTTGTCATTGAATAATCATCATGCATGTTTTCCAAATTTGTTTACAAATGTTATCCTCATTGTTGTTACAAAAGCATGGAATTTTCTAGTTGTGACAATCGGTCCCGCAACTTAAGGTTACACTTTTCTTGAAACCGACTCTCAAACCGGCCACCCTACGCCTTCACGAGCCCTAGGCTCTGATATCAAGTGTAAGGTATTAAACTGGTAATACCTTGATGCCCAAGACCAAACAAAGGAGGAACAGGAAAAACTGTGACAAATGATTTTATTGCTAAAGATCTTTATCTAAACTAACGAATACATGTCTTTATTTATACTAATGAAAGCAGTAACATAAACCAATACGTAATATTTGTTAAGCAAGCAAAAAACTTCCTAATCTAAATCAAATACTTAAATTTTTTTCCTAAAATACCCCTGCACTCATAAATCCGATTAACCCAACACGAATATCCTGCAAGGGCCCCGAAATAATTATTTAATATTTAATTATTTTATTTATAAAAATAAATATTAAACTTAGAGTAGCCATTATGTAATATATATTTTGTATATGAATAACTAGTGTAATATGTAAGGTTTAATAAAATAAACAAGTGAAAAAAAATAAGGTAAATAAGGTTAAACAAAAGATTTTGGGTCAAATGGGGTTAATGGGGGATTAGGGGAAACGGGGAAACGAGGGCGGGATCGAGGGCGGTCTTGAAATTTGGGGGTGGGATCGGGGTAGGTAGACGGAGGAACTCGGGGTCAGGTTCAAGGTCGGGGGAAACAGACGAATTCTGGGGCATGGAGGCTATTTACGCCCTCATTTGGTCCCGTTGATATCCCTAATCCCACAACAGACCCTAATGGTTCCTACTTGCTTAATCACTATTTCTCTTTAAAAATCTCACATCTCTCGGCGGGCTTTGATCCGAACGCACTATTTGAGAAATGTATCAAAGCAAACCGTACCATATCGATCTGGAATAATTTTGTGCAACTAAAAAAAAACAAGTTCTTTGCTGGATGCAATCAATGTCAACAAGTTATATATTAACAACAAGATTTTGGAAGAAAAAACGGAAAGCAAGACTTGTCATCATGTAATAACTCCGATGTGGAAAAAATTGATAAAGACTTCATCGTCGACACTCAAAAACGACATGCAAATTACGCAATAAGTACAATATGACAACCCCAACCATGATTACCCATATACCGACGACACTTGCAATTTTTGGAATATCCTTCCGCATATCTTCGTTTGAATAATATATTTTTGTTTTACAAATTAAGTAAAGTTATAAAATAATTTTTAAGCTTTTTATATTAATGAAATATTGAAGTTATATATGTTAATGTTATGAGACAAAATTGTCCAAAAAGACTGGGTTAAAAAACAGAATCAGAAAATAATAATAAAAAAATAAATTAAAATAAAAACAAGCCTCATCGAAAGACAGAATCCACCAGAAAGAAACAAACACAAAAACTACAGCACTACACTGGCCTGGACCGAGACTGAAAAAAGACCGACAAAAGTAATAGTTTTGGTTATTTGAATTATTGTGAGATCGATCTAAGGTTATTATAAATGCGTGTAAATCGCGTGGTGTATTAGGAACATGAAAAAAAATACTATTGATAGTAGTTCTAATGATGATAGTCAAATTGGTATCAATGCAAAATCAAACTCTAATGAGTAATCCTTGGAAAGATTGGCATGTACCCTATATGTTAGGAACTTTCAACCACACATGGAGCCTTGAAAATCTATGGACACTTTTGTGAGAAGTTTGGAATAGTGGCTTACATATACATAGAAAGAAAACTCTCTAAGCAAGGGAAATGTTTATCTCTTGTTCATTTTTTAAATTTAAATATGAAAATAACCTCATCCAAAATGTATCTTCTTTTTGGGGTTTGGATCACGAACATGCAAAAACTTTATTAGTAATGAGAGGATGGCATGTGTTGAAGAAATATGATTTCAGCTCCATAACCTTAATGCCATCAACACAAAGTTCATAAATCCATACAAGTCTTTGATTTGCATATCAGTATGTATGTAATAAGTTACAATCATGAGATAATAAATGTTGTAAAGATTTACACTTGATCTTGAAGAAATATGATTTCAGCTCCTGCTGATGCTCTTCTAAACCTGAGTAACTCGATCAAAAATCTTGTTCTTCCTTCAGTCATATAAACACTTGGAGTGATGCTCATAGTCTCAAGAACAGGTGAACTCCCAAGTAAAAGCTCTATGAATCCCATTTCATGTGGAACACCAGACATATCTGTCATCTTCACCATCTTAAGCCTTTCAAATCTGCACTCAAAAGGACATTCATTCTCCCAGAAATCCAAATTCCTAGCTTCTGTTGCAGATGATGAATTCGATGAACCCTAAATATTCAATCCCAAATTTGTTATTTTTCATCTTCAAGATTCTTTATAGTATCATGTAAATAAATAGAATTTGTATATGAAATCTATATAACTCACAGAAATTTGAAGTTCTTGAAGATTAGGAGCATTTAGAATCAATCGAAGAACCACCATTATTTCTTTCATATCCTCAAAGCTCACTTGATACAATTCAATAACCTTTAGCTGTTTGTATGTCATCTCTGTTTTCCCAAAGGTGTTGCCTATACTCATATACTAAATAGAATCATAGAAAACAAAAACACAATCAATCAATCAATCAATCAAATAATGCAAATTTGTAAGTGTTAAACTTGGATAAAAATCTAACCTTTGTAAAGTAAATATGTCCAATGAGTCTTTGAAGAGAAGGAACACCACCAAGAAACTTATCAAAATTACAACTTGAACTTTGACCAAAATGTTCAGCAATATCATCAGTCATGTACATAGCAACAGATATAGCAACCAATTTTGGAGTATTTTCAAGACATATATCTTTAAACTCGCCTTCCAAGATTAAAAACTTTAGATTTGGAGCCCGAATTGTGAGTTCTAAACTATCAAAATACGATAAAGTCAAACTTTCAAGAAGAGTGCAACCCGAGATAAAATTCTCAACAGCTTCAGGAGCAATAAGAACTTGTTGAAGATTAAGGTGTTTAAGATATGGGAACCCTTTAAAAGATAATGGAGGATCTAACTCACATCTAACAAGCTCCAATCGAATCAATTTTTTACATGAAAAAAGACATGAAGGTGCTCTAAACCACTCTCCTTCACCTAACTCAAGAAGCAATTCTTTGACATCTTTTCTTGATAAGAAAAGCAGCCATTGATCTACATCAGGGGAGCTTTGTAAATAAGCAGTAGTTAGAGAGAATCTATTGATAGGTCCATCATGAAGAAAAAGAAACCGCGTTATAAATTTTACAAGATTGGTTTCTGCAAGTGATCTATCGTGGGTCCCGGATACACATTTGTCATCAAACTCAAGGTGTGTAAGTGTAGCCCATTTGTATCTCCATTTAGAAGATAATATACTTGTTCTTACAGCTTCTCTCAATGGAAGTTTTGTTAGTATGATTTCGATAATACTTTGGGGGAGATCAGTTATATAGTCTTCAAATTCCATATGCATTTTGTTCCTTCTTCCCTACAAATCAAAGAAATTGTGTTTTATCAACAATTTAACTCGTTTATCCAAAAGAAAAACTAAGAAAAAAGGAAAGTTCGAGGTTGATTTGTTCATTGTTTTTGTTTCTCAATTGTAACGTCCTCAATGTATTGAGAAGATTCAGATGTTAAGACGTTAAAGAAAAGATTCAAACTTTTGCCTAATTGTAAGACACTAGGGTTTATACACAATGTATTGAGAAGAATCGCTTTGGGGTTTCTTGATTCCTGATTATAAATTCAATGGCAAATCGTCAAGCTCAAATAAATAGAAAGAATTTCAGTGGAATATTATGTTAAAAGAGTTATGAAAATTGATCAGGATATGACTTAACAATGTGCAAATGTTCATATGAATCAAAACTAACAAAAGAACACACATTCAAACTATTCAAGAAACCGCAAGTCCAATTAGGACAGGATCTACAAGATAAGGATCTACAAGATAAGATAGCAAATTATTTAAATTTTTTAGTCATCAAACATGGGGTGTAAGTGAATTAGGGATTTTTATATCCAATTTGCAAACTTTAAAAGAACCCAAAGAAGGAGAGACAATAATGATCAAACCCATTTGCAGAAAAGACAGATCCTTACAAATTAGGAATCTAAATCGATTTGAAAAAAGATAAAAATTAGAACAAATTAGGTGTGAAAGGAAAAAGATTCGTACCTAAGATTAAGACTGATGATCCTCGATTGTTCAGGTAAGAGAAGGAAGTGAAGGAGACGAAGGATGAAACTATGAAAGCATATTATATAATACAAAATATGCACCGCTTTCATTTTTTTTTTAAGACAACAATGACAGTGTTAGCTGAAAATTGTCATTTGGTCCAAAGTTTGGACTAGCATAAGAAGTCCAAATTTTTTATTTTGTTGCGAGTTTGATCCGATTTGTTTTTAACTTTTTTATAAAGACGATTTTGTCCTTGATTTTTGCTTTTTTAGTTTTTTTATTTATTTAAATATTTTTCTGATTAAAAGAAAATTAAAAAAGTCAAATCTCTCTCTCTCTCTTCGATTGTTCAAGAACAACAGATACAATAAAAAACACATTCCCCTTTCCCTTGGTCTTCCTCCCTGCAACTCAAACCCACCAACAATCTTTCTATTTTGGAAGAAATCAATTTATGAGCTACATCTTTTCCAGCCTAACACAAACTGAACTCGAATTTTGTTGTCGTATCTCCGTCCGATCTACTATTTGCCCACCGATCGGCTCCGCCCCTTTTCCTCTTACCAGCAGATCAACTCAGATCGACTTCCACCTCTACCCACAAACCTTGGATTGCAGAGTAGAAAGCTTCTTTCTCTGTTCAAAATGAGTCACGAAGATCAGTTTGAAGTTCAAATTGGAGATATCGATACTCAAATCTTCAAGAAGCTTCATCAGGTTACCATTATGCCCTCACCGTGAATATGTTGAACTATTGTTTGATTTATTTGAACCCTAACTCTACACCATTGTTTGATTTATGAACCCTATCTTTGTATGTGTATATGGATTTGTGTGTACTATTGTAGATACCTCCATCAGATTTAACCATATTGAATCTTCAAAACATGACAAAGAAGCAGCGTAGGAAGATTGTGATATATCTGTTCCTCTCATATCTCTCTCGTCTTGCAGAACCAACAGAGCTCTAATATCAGCAAATTCAAGCAACAAGCTCAATGATTCTTCTGCTTTAATGGCGAAAAAGTCCAAACACAACCACCAACAACACCAAATCTCCTCTGAATGATGAACCAATTATGAGATGAACCAATTATGAGATGATGCAACCCATTTAGATTCACCCCCAAAACCCATCAACGAATTGATAGATTTTGGGGAGACCCAGATGGACCCGACAAAGGAAGAAATTTGATTCCATGGTTTGTGGTTTCAGGTGAAGCTATTGGTGGTGTGGTGTGGGTGATGGAAGTGGTGAGTTGTTTTGCAGGTCTCGATGGTTTTGAGGAACGGATGAGCAGGAGTCGTATCTTTGGAGGTTCACCAAAAGAAGCTTGACATGAGATCTGGGTTTTGTTGGAAAAAGCTTGAAATGAGATATGGTGTTGTTCTGGTTCTAATGACAAATTCTTGTATCTAATTTGATGTTCTTGATGAATTTTTGGGGAAGAAACCATTAAAGAGCTTTTGTAAAGGAAAAGTAATGAAGAAGGAATGGGCATTAACGAGAGAGAGAGAGATTGCATTTTTATTTTTTTTTATTTCTGTTATAAAAAAATTACAAAAATAAAATAGAAAATACAAATTTTATTTTTAATTTTTTCCTTTAATAAAAAAACAATTAAATAATAAAAAAATTGCAAAAGAACAAAAAATAAGGGCAAAATCGTCATTAAGAAAAAGTTCATAGCAAATTGGACCAAACTCGCAACAAAATAAAAATTTTGGACATCTGGTGCTAGTCCAAACCTTTTTGGACCAAAGTGATAATTTTCAGCTAACCAAAGGGATCATTTGTGCAATTTTGTCTTTTTTTAAGTATGGGCCATTTCAAATGGCCCAATGGTATTAAAATGTCTCACAAGTGTTGATAATGAATTTTTTGATTTATACATATCTCTGAAATCCAACCAATGTATTATATCGGTTAAATTTAAAAAAAATTAAATATAAATGTCAAAATATTTGAAAACTTTGAATTTATAAAAAAATAAGAAAAATAATGAATTATTATAATAAAAATGTTTTTTATCTTTTAAATTAAATAAATAAACAAAAGAAATTAATGAGTTTTAATTTTGGAAATTTTGAAATTAAAAGGTAAGACGATTAATGAAATTGATATACATTTATTACTACATTTATTGCAATTATTACATTAAAATATTTTTAATAAAATAGAAAATTTCATAAAATGACATGTGGAAAAAAAATTAATTCAAAATAATCATAAAATGACATTTGACAAATTGAATGAGAGGGTGACAAGTGACAAAAAAATATTCATTTATTAGAGTAGATTTATACGACAAAATTACAAAATGGTCCCCGTGGTTGGCAAAATTCTGCAGTTTCGGTCCAAAAAGTTTTAGTGGTGCACCAATGGTCCAAAATTAGATCTTTTTATTGGTTTTAGTCCTTATACACTTAAAAAGACGATTATGCCCTTATAATTTATATTTTTTATTTTTTTAATTACTAAAATACATAAATTAATTGCAAAAATGGTCCCTTCATCTCCAACTCCACCCTCTATCACCGTTGTTTTGAACCACCTTCGTCAGCTGACATTCTCGTCGGAGTTCACCTAGATCACCACCACCGCCTCTGCCATAGATCTCAAATTCCCCATCCATACTGCCCTCCCTCCTCCTGTTTTGCTGGAATCAAACCCTTCTCCCGATTAAAATCACCACAACTACCTGTCGCACCACCTGTAATCATCGTCGAAGCTCACAACCATTAAAACCACCATCAATCATCTAACCTGCTACACCAAAAAACGAGATCCTTATGTCACCGAATTACAACGACACTGGAAACAAAAACCTTCATTACATCCACAGCCTCCATCGCCATCTGTTAAGCCTCACACACCACCATAAACCTCCATCATTCCACTGAAAACACTCCTTCCACCATCAAGCATCACCTCAGCCAAAAACCACAACAGAGCAACACCTCATCTAGCCTCCTACAAACGACATCGGTGGGGTTATGGATCGATTTGATCGGATCAGAGTAGAACTGTGAGAGAGAGGGATGGGAAAAGTGGCGACGCAGTGGGTGGCTACAGGTGAAGAGTGGCAACAATGGAGATCCAAAAAATTTGGGTTTTAACAGGATTTGGCGGAGGTATTGTGCAGCGGCGATTAGATCGATTCTCTGGTTGTTGAGCCACGACCTCCTTCGGTCTCGTAGATGCTGATGGAAGACGGAGGTAGCATGGAGCTGGTTTTTTTTATTTTTTTTTATTTTCCATGGCAGATGGTGGTGTCTAACGGAAATGAAAAGAAAGAGAGAGATATTGATCGGAGATGGGGAAGAGAGAAAGATGGTAGGTGGGTTAGTAGGGGGGTTATATTTTTTAATTAAAATTAATTAGAAAAGAATTAATAAAGGGCATATTCGTCATTTCAAGTTGGCTATGGACCAAAATCACACAAAAATGCCTACCATAGGGACCAAAACCGTACAAGGTATCCGAAATTGGACCACCGATGCATCATCAAACTTTTTTGGACCAAAACCGTAGAATTTTGTCAACCACAGGGACCATTTTTGCAATTTTTTTATTTATACATATTTAGTTATTCTGTTTTTTTGTCTATATTTCCCATGTTAAACTGTTCAAAAAATATCCTTATGACATGCTATCGGAGGTTTATCCGGTTTCCGACGTATTTGACAGCTCCGACGAGATTCCTGTCATCTTATCCGGATTCCCTTTCTAAACGAGATCTCTCTCCCGTTTTATCACGAATACTTGTGTGAAGAATGTCCAATTGATGCATGATTTTTTGTTGACTCCGTGCAATTCCTAATATTTGTATAAGATCACGTAGTGAGAGTCTGTTAGGTTGGATGGAATGGAGTGGAATGACATACAAAATGGAATAAGACATGTTCCATGACTATCTGCATTAAGTCGTTCTTTTTGTATTAAGTCAAAGTTACACTGATAGTGAAAAGAAATTAATTACCTCTTCAATCAAAGGAGAATCTTTGGCTAACTGATTTGAATAAGACATGAAACGTTTATATAACTTATAAAGTTTTCGGAAGAATATTGTTTTTGGGGCATTAAAGAGAGTAGAAATGATTTTTATCAATTTGAAAGTATGAAAAATGAGATTATTTCAAAATTTTAGTGTTTATATACTTGGGCCCATGGGCCAAAAACGGCCGATTTCATAGCTCACTATAGTGAACTCATAGGTAATATAGGTAAAATTGCTAGTAACCTTAATCACATACAAATTTGATGGCTAAATTTGATAATCTTTTAATTTTTTTACTAAAAATGGCTAAATTATTATTGTTTTTTTTTTTTTTAATTTTGTAAAGTCTTCTTGATTTAAACCATTTCAACTTTCTTACTTTAGCACTGCATGGAACTCTCAAATTCATATTACCCTTTTCATGTCTTCTCTCCAACAACTTTTACAAATTGAGGTTGGAGTTGCTTTCCAAATGCATCACTCCCCTGTGACCCTAAAGAAATAAATGGAGTCTGCAACATCATAAGTAGTTAGAGTACATATTAATGCCGATGTTGATCGATGTATACTTAATAATATAACCTCAACTTTTTATATACCTCAATACTATGCTTGTTTGATATCCAAATATTGCAACCATTTTACTCCAAGTCATATACAACATTTCTTAAAAGAATATCACTTGTGACCTTCATTAAATAGACATTTAATATTATATTTTATATTTCTTTGTTAAATAGAAATAAATTATTGTTGAAACATTTTTTATTCAAAAAAATATGTTTAATAATACTGTTTAATTTATTTGGTAAGGATAAAAAAACAGAATCAAATCTCTTACAAGCTAATAACTAAAATAGCTATAATTGTTTAAAATACATTTCTTTAAATACGTGAAAATAGTATTTTACATTAAAAAAACATATAACTTCATTTTTTTTGAAAGAATAATTAAAAAACAAAGCAAACGAACTCATCTTATAAAGTTTTCTTTGGGGGATTATCTTTTGACATAGATATTGTGGATTGGGTGCTCTACACGTGGTGTGTTTATGATTCATCAATTATTTCTTTCTTCTTCTTTATGCATTTAATCTTTAAAACATATAAAATGTTTACATATTGTTGGTATCATGGGATATTTACAAATTACCATATTATATTGTGAAATAAATAATATCGTATCTAATATTTCTGATACGATATTATTTAATTCCATAAGTTGAACACTTTAGTCGCTCAAATCTTTACATCTTGTTTTAACATTTGATGAGATATCTATATATATATATATATATATATATATATATATATATATATATATATATATATATATATATATATATATATATAACACCTACTACAACTACTACTTGAGCTGTGATTTGAGCTCCTCCACCTTTGTTTCAGTATCCTTCAATGCCTTCCCATATTTGCTTACCAACTGAAACAAAACATCAAAACATTTTTAGCAATAATGAAATTTTAGTTTTTAAAAAAAAAAAAAAAAAAAAAAAAAAAAAAAAAAAAAACTACTGACCTCATCAACTTGATTTGATGTCATGATGAATGGTGGAGACATCATTATACTGTCACCAGCAACACGAACCAACATCCCATGTTTCTCACATTGTGCTCCAAAGTATGCACCGATTCCTATCATTCAAACAAATGGAATAAAGCAATGTAATGGAATCAACCATTCCATTCCTTTCCTCAATCCTGATTCCATCATACCAAAAAGTAGACAAGTTTTATGATTGGAATCTTACCCCATTCTGGTGGGAACAGTTCATTTGGTGACTTGTTATCTGTAAACTCTGTCCCAGAAATCAACCCTGTTCCACGAATCTACAAAAAAAACAGAATCAACTTTAACAAAAATGTAAAAAAAAAAAAAAAAAAAAAAAAAATTCTATAAAATCCATGAACATTATTAATAGTTTAATACCTCTCCAACTATGGGACTTGAGGAAAAGGCTTTTATACCATCTTGAAACATTGGGGAGATGCTGTTTACTTGATCAAGAATATTTCGCTCTCTATAAAAAAAATTAATATAAAGGCTTCAAATTTAATAAGAAATCTTGATTAGGGAAAAAAAATAGGATTTTGATATGAAGAATGTAAGAACATACTTATAAATCTTGAGTGTTTCTAGTGCAACAGCACAGGCTACAGGGTGCCCAGAATACGTGAATCCATGAGAAAATGAACCTAAAATAAAAAAACAAAAAGTTATAAATAATTAAACATCACAAGTCTTTTTAAATTTATATACACATACCAAGTTTATTGCTTTGAGAATATATGACATCAGCAACCTTAGGGTTCACAAGAACAGCACCAATTGGCATATAAGCCGAGGAAAGAGCCTGAAAAAAAATATATATATATATATATATATATATATATATATATATATATATATATATATATACTTTATAATTATCCTTTAACAATTTAATTTTTTTTTTTTAAAAAAAAACCGAATTTTTAATAGTCATACCTTAGCTATGGTGACAAGATCGGGTTTAATGTTGTACTTATCACAACCAAACATGGTTCCAAGCCTCCCAAATCCACATATTACCTTAAAAATAATAAACAAAAGTATATCATGTACTTTAAAAAAACTAATAGTTCAGAAAAAAAAAAAAAAACAAATTATAACAACCAATTACCTCATCAGCAATAAATAAAATGTCATATTTTTTTACGACAGCTTGAATCTGCATCACACACAAAACTACTATTACTATTCATGGTTCAACAAAGATGCACAGGGGTAAAATAGTAAAATAGCATGAAAACTTTTATTAGTCAACTTGACCTTCTCAAAATATGTTTTAGGGGGAAGTATCACTCCACCTGCTCCCATCACTGGTTCCGCAATAAATGCAGCTATCTAAAAACAAAAAAAGAACAATTTTTTTTTTATCAAAATGTGATGCCAAAAGTTTTTTATTAAAATTTTGTTGATGTGTATCAGTGTATGTTATAGCTGTCATGTCATGTCATGTCAGATACAGTACAGCCTGTTTTGTACTGTCCTAAACAGAAGACCTTACCGTCTCTGGTCCTTCTTTTAGGATGAGGTTTTCCAAATTGGTAGCCAACCTTGTTGAAAATTCTTTTTCTGTCTCACCTAAAATAATTCACTATAATTAATTAATTAATTATCACATCATTTTGATAATTAAATGTTCATGGGTAACAAGAAAGAAAGAAAAAAAAAACCTGGAAGATGAAATCGCCAATAATGGGGGCAATCAGTGTGCAATACAAATGGAGTAGGGAGATCAAAATTTTGATGTAATGCTGGAAGCCTAAAAGAAAACAAGATTATACAAATAAGGGACACTTTGACTTTCATGGTCAAACAAGTAAGCTTTTTTTAACTTCAAGATTGATGGAATTTTGCTTTTTAGGAAAAAAAAATTGAAACCCAAGTTGAATTTTACAACATAATTACATAAGAAAAGAGTTGGTGATGAATTGTGTTGGTATTAATATCAATTTTGAAGTTTGAATTTTAGTTGAGTTGACCTCATTAGTCAAACTTATTTTTTTTTTTGAAACATGACATACCCAGAAAGACTAGCTGATACAAGAGTGGATCCATGGTAGCTGTGAGAATATAGAGTACACATTAGAATTGTGCTATGCGGGAAAGAAAAGTTGTATAAAGATCTGTTAAGATGTGAATTTACGATTTTATCCTTGCAATAATTTTCTTCTTATTTGGCCTTCCAAGGGCATTGTTGTAATACCACACCAGCTTCACCTATAAATGATAATTGCTTCAAGTTTGATTTTTATGAGGGTAGCATGAATAATTGTGTATTGATTTGAGAAGGGTAAAATGGTCATTAGTTGCTGAACCTGAGTATCATTTGCATCTGATCCACTATTTGTGAAGAAAACTTTTGCCATTTTATTGGCTGTAAACATTCCCAAAAGTTCACTTGCAAGATCCTGTAACCATAAATATATAAAATTATAAATCACATAACAAAAGAATCTCATAAAAATAATTTAATTTTACCAAAGAGGGTTTTGTAGTACGATTCCAAAAAGAATGATAGAAAGGTAAAGTATTCAGTTGCTTGTTTGCAGCAGCAATAAGTCGAGCCTCATTTCCACCTATAAAACAATTCAAAATAACATATAAATAAATCAAGAAATGTAATAATAAAAAGAAAAATAAAAATCAAATACGAATATGAGAAATTGAGAATGACCTAAAGGATTGCACCATAAACCAGCAAGAGCATCAAGATACTTTTTCCCATTTATGTCATATACATAAGATCCCTACAAGCAATTGAAGAATATAAGGGAAAAAAAATCAAAATTTGATTTCAAGTTCACATATTTTTGTCAAATTTTAAAGATAATAAACCGAATTAATAAAAGAATACCTCAGATTTCTCTATCACCAATGGGTTTGATTCAGTGGTTTGCCATCCAGCTGTGAAAGGTGCTAACATACTATGTCCCTTGTATCTAAGAATGAAATTTAACAATTTTAAAATAAATATTTATAAAGTTGATAAAAGTTGAGATTGAAGCAAACTGTTTACATGACATACCTATCATCATCAGCCATGGCAGCATTTGTAGTGTTCCATCTGACTGTGGAAAGAGTTTGCACATTTCTTACTGACGAACGAATCTGTATCATGAATCGCAAAACAAATATTTCCTGATTTAGTGAACTTTATTCTATAAATTAATAAGGCGTGATACGATTTTGTATAAATTAATGATTCATAGTGTTGTTGCCTTCATTTGATAATTAGTTTTGTATTGTTTGGCAAATCTGATTTCAAATTTCCAACTTCTTTGTGGGATAAAATATTCGGATTTGAGAAGCAAACAATGAGTGATTGTTTAGGGTAAATGTAAAAAATCTTTTTGATTATTGATCATCCGATTGATTCAATTTCTTAAACCCCTTAATTTGAACTTGTGGCGATAATTCCAGCAAAATTCACGTTAATTTGGTAATTGAAAAGGTGTCAAGTGTCATCTGGAAAACTAAGACGTTGACTATTCATCTTTTTAGTCGTAGAAACACAATTTAACTCAAGAATTAGTCAAAGTACACTAAAAAAGCCCTAATTTTCAAACCAAAAGCGGCAAGATAATGCGATGATATGATAAATTACGAAATAGGGAAATATTAAAAGAGAACGAAAGGATCAGAGGACTATGAAACAGAATATAGATGATGATAAGGCCAAGTGAATGATACAAGAAGATGCAAAGAAATGAAAATTTGTTTAACCTTGGAGGAGGTAGCAGCCATGGCTGATCGAAAGAGATGACGATTCTTCATTTACAGAGTGAGAGAGTGAGTCAGTGAGAAAGAGACCATCAAAGAACAAGAAGACCTTTGATTCCTATTTCAGGCCCCACCACAGGATCATGTATTATTTATTTATTTAACACAGTTATTTATATAAAATAAAAAAGAATAGTATTTATCACACAAATAGGACTAGATTCATTGTCATGTTTGTGCTTTGTTTGTATCTGTTTTTAATATTTGGGTTGGTAGCATTTTTTTCATTATTTTTCAGCTTCCATTATTATTGCTAATATTTGCTAATTACATTTGGCTTATTTTTTTATGTAAATTTGTTTTAACTTTTTATTCCCATTGTTTGTGTTTGTGGCTAGTTTTTTTTATAGTCATGTGTTTTCCCCCTTTTTACTTCGGTTTGTATTTTTGTGTTACACCAAAATAACCATTTTTTTACATCTATATTTAAATAATCGCAAATTTTGCAAATAATATTTTGTTATTGCAAAATGGAAAAGATGGTCCTAAAAAATTGATGTATTTTTTTGTTGTTTGTGACACCGCTATCAAAACCTTTTGGAAATTCTTATTATTTCTTTAAAGTGCAAATTTTCTTGCAATCAATTTGGGTAATGAAATGGATTCAAAGCAATAACTATTCTTTAAATTCTTGTGATTAGCTTAATAAGCTCCAAATTGGCTTTATTATTTCTAGCTTCATTTTGCAAAATAAGAATAATTCGGATTTTTTTTGTGAAGTGTTAATTTCATATTTTCAAGTTATATTTAGATTAGTTAACACTTTTGTCTCCATGTGATGTATATTTTCTTATTTGAACTACTAGTTTAGGTTACAAAAAAATATTTTTGTCTTTATTCTTTGTTTTTCATGGTTTTTACTTTTTTATCTTGTTTCAATATCAAATTTACATGTTGGGTTGGGTCCATATGGTCATTAATGAAATTGGAGTTTGATTTTCCCATATTATATTCCACAAAATAAGACATTTCACAAAACATTATTTAGGATTACTATAAATGTCATATTTCCATGTTTCACATTCTTCCATTTTCATAGATTCAATTATAGTTGGTCATGTAGTATATCTAATTGTTCAAACTACTAGTTTAATCTTAACTTTAAAGCCAAAATCACAATGAAGCTAAAATGGTAAACAGACATATCTTTCTTTGTCAAAACTCAAAAGGGCCCTAAGAGCTTTAACTCAAACCCCAATATCTCTAAAACCGCAGATCAATTCGACCCATGAATATCCGAAAAAATTCTTGTTAAAAACATCAAGATTTGTTATAAAAACTAGCAAAAAAAAAAAACAAATGAGTTAGAAGAAAGAATCAATTTCTTGATGAAACCCACTTCAACATGAAGATCCCAACACCACCACAAGCCATGGCTAATAGCAAAGAAACCATGATTGCATCAACCTCCAACCCTTTACTTTTCTTGGATTCTCTTTCTACACGAGATCTCTCTCCCATTTTATCACGAATACTTGTGTGAAGAATGTCCAATTGATGCATGATTTTTTGTTGACTCCGTGCAATTCCTGATATCTGTTTCACAAGATCAAGTAGTAAGAGTCTGTATTAAGTCGTTCTTTCTATATTAAGTCAAAGAAACGCTGACATATGTTACAAGATTTATCAAGTAAAAGATATATAAAGTGAAAAGAAATGAATTACCTCTTCAATCAAAGGAGAATCTTTGGCTAATTGATTTGAAGATGAAGAATGTCGCACCAAAGATCCAGATGAACCATTTGCAACACCAACAACAGATGTGAAGTAAGAAGTTGATACGGATCCAGATCCATTATTGCATGATTCGGGTTTTTGTTGACTATTATAATTTATCCCTCTAGTGAATTGGGAATTAAGTTCATCAATCCGAGATGTAAATTCATCCATTCGATCATTTAATGTTGAAATTTGTTCCGATAGTTGACTAATTGCCCCCTTTAGAAGATGACAAACAACAATAATCAAATACAGACAAAACAAGACAAGACAGAATAGAACAAAAGTCAAATACTGACAGGACAAGACAAAACATGTACGGAACAAAAGTCAAATACTGACATGACAAGACAAGACAGAACAGGCCGTACAACTTTCATTGGACCGAGACTATTGTTTTTACGAGTTTGGTCCAAGGGCAAAATGGTCATTTTTATAAAAAAAAAATTAACAGTTGGGTAGTTAGATTCAACAACCCATGGGGCATATCTGCAACAAAAGGAAACCACGAGGACCGATTTGTAACAAAAATGAAAGATGGACTAAACCTGACATTTTGAGTAAACTCAAGGGACCAAATATGTAATTTACAAGATTACCTCGCTTGCTAATGTGGCTGTTGACTCGGTGTTCCTATCATCAAACCTTTGACTATTGGCACCAAATCCAGTAATGGAGCTCAAATTTTTATCCCTTGCTGTTGAATACGAATGAGACATTCCACTACACAAATAAAAAATAATTACAAAAAAAAAAAGGCAACAAACTTTCATTTATTTGACTTTTTGACTTTTTAAAAAATTGTACCTTTTAAGATACTTGTTTCTCATTGTAGCAAGAGTAACTGAACCTTTAGGGCTCGAAAGCATTTCCTCATCTATGCTTAGCTTTGTTTTTATATCCTCGGGTAGTACCTAAACAAGGGTAAATTCGTAATTTAGCAAGGTCAAAGCAAAAATATGAAATTGTTTTTGATAGTTTTGATACCATGACTTCATTTAAAAGCTTTTCAAGCTTCATTTGTTCAAGATATGTACGTGGAATGTATGATCCTTCAAGTCCCAATTGCTCTGCAACATATCTTACACTTGCCCTATCTCTCCCTAACACCTTCATCAAATAAAATAATTGTTAGTTACTTTTAAAACATTGAATTATAATTTGTTAAAAACATGATCTTTTCGAAAAAAAAAACAAGATTAGTGTCATGAAAAGTTTAAATTAAGGAATGGAAAGTTAACAAAAGAAAGGAATGACATCCCTTCAAGAATAGTTGATTCCATTCCATCAAACGAAACAAAGAGATATTTTTTTCATTCCAATGGAATGAACGATTCCATTGGAATGAATGATTCCATTCCATTACCTGAACGTAATGGCGATTAACTTGTTCCAACCAATCGATTTTCACACACACCCTATCATCACGAAAAACATGGCTACTTCTCTTTAATATTGAAGCTATGGTGTACCCTAATGCCATTAAGCCACCAAGAAGCCGAACACTAACTTCAAAACTTATCCTTGGAGATATTATAAATGGAGGATCCGTAACCCATTCCTAGAATTTTTTTTTTTTAAAAAAAAAAAGAATTATGTTAAATGAATTACAAGAAATACGAATAACTTTAAAGAAAGTGTAGATTTATAGCAAACCTCAAACATAAGATTATATTTTCCTTCACGATTTCGCATCCTTAAATATGATTGACAAGTTTCTGGATCTTCGCCAGGTGGCAAAAGAAAAATGTCATAAATTTGCTCCAAAGATTCTGTATATTCTTCTGACATGGCGGATTTCACTTGTTCCACACTCACATTTCTTGATGACTGAAATATCAAATATGTATTTCAATTTTCAGATAGTGAAATTACAAGTTTATTATTTATCACTTGATGAAAATGAAATACAAAAAATTAAAAACCTTTAAAATATAAGTGGGATTCTGGAATCCAGTGAAAGGATTAAACTTGTTGACAATCTTTATATGAGCTGTTTGAAGGTCAGGTTCTATAAACGCCTTGTACATCGGATAAACCTGTTCATCTTAATGTCAGGGGGCAAAATAGTCATTTTACTAAATGAAAAAGAAGAAACAAACCGTTTCAGATATCTGGTATATGATTTCTTCAGGTTCTTGTCCAGCTCTTTGTATGTCCCTCAAAACCCTTTTCACAAGATCAAAATGAACGCCACCTGTCACTGACACTCTAAGATCCAATAAAGGGCGTAATTTTTCACTCAAAGCATAAATGCCTTCAACTATCACAATTCGGGAACTTGGGACTTCAAGTGTCCTACAATCACCACATTATATATAGATCATAAAGTTTATGTTTTTATTTATTTATTTATAATGTATGTTTTTAAAAAGATACAAACCTGTAACCTGTGCGACAACTGGATTTGAAATCATAAATTGGAACTTCAATTGTCTTCCCTTCTTTAAGATCATGAATGTTTTTAAGCAAAGTGTCATAGTCTGTCAAACGAGGATCTGTTTGGGAGATTTTTCAAACCAAAAAATCTTGTTAACTAACAAGCTTTTTGAAGGATTTGGTGGCTCCCATATGTTTTCAACCAATTGTAAATAGACAAGAATGATTTGAAAATCTTACCATCAAAGTTACCATCAATTACACGAGTGGCATCATTGTAATTATCCATTGATATGACAGCAACACTCGGCATGAAGTTAAGGATTTTCTCAGAGAAAGCAGTCTTTCCAGCACCAGAAGGACCAGCTAACCCAACGAGTATTATCCCTTCGTTTGTTTGGACTAATAATTGACATGCTCGAATTACAACAAAAAACCCCTTTTCAAACGATAAAGTATCTTTAATTTGAACAATTTCAGATCGATCACAATCTTTTCTCTTAACTAAACGAACTTGATCTTTCAACAGACCTTGTTTTCTTGAAGTTGATTCACCCATTGAGTTATCAAGAGCCATTTAATCTGAAAGTAAGAGCAATGGTGCATTCAATTTCGTTATCAAAAACATAAAAGTTTTTCAAATTGTTGTCGCAAAAGTTGATCGAACAGTTTGAATTACTTGTAAAGCTAGCAGATTACGAACGACATTCTTATTTTCTAAAAATCATATACGAAAAAGAAAACACACAAAAAGCCATGAATGGGATCAACGTCACCGATCTTCACGTTTCCCGATAAAGATTTAATAACAACCACAATAGCTCCATGTGGTGACAAAACTAATCAATCAAACATGAAATAAAACATAAAGAAATTCGTAACCAAATATGTTGAATGAAAAAAAATGAATGTATTCTCAAAAGGGGAAGTTTCGAAAACTTGAATTGGATCTAAAAACAATCAGAACAAACCGACTTAATCGCCAAAACAACAAGCGAAGAACAGAGCAGTAGAAAAGTTACCAATGAGGGGTCTCTTTTAGTGTAGAACGATAATTGATCAAATGGGTAATCAATTCAGAGGTTTTAGAACAAGATTACACAGTGGGCGTGAGACTTGAGCAACAAAAGAATGCACAAAGTTGGTCAGCAATGAGGTATTCATACATATAGCTATATGTGTACGTAAATTGATTTTTTTTTTCTCAGAGTTCAAGTTTCTTCCTTTCGATGCATAAAAAGGTATGATTTTCCGAGATTTTCTTGGGAAGTGAGAATCTGCAGGATTTCTAGTTTGCAGGGGAGAGAGTATATAAACCCTTTGGGCGAAGAAAATATCAGGGTAAAATATTGCGATTTTGTGGCCATTTTTTGGTAAATAGATGTGGGCTATTGGGCCCCATATTATGGGTTTGGACTTTGGACCCCTTTCGGTTTTTGGAAGTTAGAAAACAACTTGGTCACACAAATCTTGTATTATCTTTTAAAAGACTTATGATAAGTTAATTTTGATAAATTAAAAATGTTTACTTTATTAAATACATACATATCCTACACAAATAATACAAGTGAAGCCAAGTTGTCAACTCATGTTATATTAAAAAAAATCTTCATTACATCCAATATAAAGTCATATCTTCATTACATCTAATATAAAATCATTGTTCATTTTTCATAATTTTCTCGATCTATTTGTCAAGACTTGGCATCACCACTATGGTTATATTCGTTCATACAAAAAAAGAGGTTAGGTTCATTTAGCTAGTAGAGTAAGTAAGAGTCAGATCCATAGTAGCTTTATGGTTAACAAAATAATTTCAGCTTGATTAAGACATTATACTTGAATAATTATTTAAATTAGTACAAGTAAGATTTGTTTCCAAAGTAAACAAAAAATTTTGACTGAAATAATGTGAGGTTTGTGAGAAAAAGTGTTTGTTCTAGTTTTGAGGTTGAATTTGAAGTTGTGTTGTATTCAATATTATGGATGTTATATATATTTTAAATTTGAGTTTGAAGTTGTATGTTATCCTATATTTCAGATGTCATGTATGTAGATATAAGAGGTGAGTTGCTACAATGCTAATAGCATCGACATTTGTGTTTGAAATTGATTCCAAAGACTTGAAATTAGAGCGTTTATATACCTAAAACATTGATTCCATTAAGTAGAGTAAATTCGTGATTTATTGGTCAAAATCTTCAGAAAAAAAAAAACAAAAAACAAAAACAAAAACAAAAACAAAAAAAAACAAAAGATATGAAGAATCTAGATAAGGTTATTATGTCGGAGAATTTTACCGTAGTTTTTTGCAAACAAAATTTTGGTTAATCAACATTATAAGGTTGGTAAAGTTGTAATGATGTTTAGCATTTTAATATTCCATGTCGAGTTTTATTGTCTTTATGTATAGTATTAGCATGGCCAATCATTTGATTTTAAAGACATGTGTAAAGAGTAAAAATGGACCCCTACATAAGGTTTGGGAACTAGCCAAATATGTGAAAATTTGATTTTTAAAATTTAGGTTTATAGTAATTTTTGTGGCTGTTTATCCGGTTTTAAAAGATAGAGTAAATTATATGAATGGTCCTTCAGTTTTACAGTTTTTTCTTGAAATAGTCTTTACGAAACTTTTTTTTCCTAAGATGGTCCCTAAGGAGCAAACATTGCACACAAATGGCCCTTATGACTAACACTGTTAACAAATTCTATTAAGTGATTGTGAATGACGAAAATACCCTTTGTTTTTTGCACACAAATGGTCCTCTCTCTCATTCTCTTTCTCTCTCTTTCTCTCTCTCTCTCTCTCTCTCTCTCTCTCTCTCTCACACACACACACACACAAACCCGTTTGAAGATCAGTTCATTGCCTAACCAAATTCCATTTCAGCAAAACCAATATTTGCATGTGTAAACTAAACATCACCATTTCTAGACAACTTCATCACCAATCTCTTCGCTCTCACTTTCAATAATTTCTCCAAAATGCTCACAAGATCTGATACATAAACAAGTGACGTATTCCCCAAATTGAAAATACTCAGTTGTGCAAGTCATTTCTTCTTCCCTCCACTTCTTGTAGTCAATAATAGAGGAAGAAATCAACACCCATTACATAAATCAGAAATCAGAAATCGAAATATATATATTGGAGTAGTGTTCTGAAACCTAAACCGTGAGGCAAAAAATGATGGAGCTGGGTGCAGGGGCGGTCCTACAGTGGGGGCAATTGCCCCCACAACAAAAAAAAAATCATTAAAAAGTAGGTTTTTCTAAAAAATATATATTTTTTAACCCTTCAAAATTATATATTTTTACTCATCAAAAAAATTTGTCCCCCTTAAAAAGTTATAAATTTTTTTTGCCCCCTCTTCGGAAAATTCTTGGTCCGCCCCTGGCTGGGTGTTGTCTTGTTGAATATTTGGACTTAACTTCATTACCACCCTTCTACATATCTCACTTTCATATCCATCAGACATGCTTTCATATCCATCTCCTCTAACCCCTGAAATCGGAGCTGGAAAATCGGACCTTGAAATCCCTCCTGATTTCAATCGAAACTAGATCAATCCAAACGCATATATAAACACACTAGTTTATAACCCGTGGGAACTACGGTTACAAAATTAAAATTGGTAATATAAATCAGAAAATTAAGTTGTTAAAATAAACATATATTATTTAAAAAATAAGGAATTATAAAAGAAAAATGTAAACATAATATGTGTAACCAAATTTGGTAAATATCCTTTAATCGGGGGATAGGTGCGGTGGGTAATATTGACATATTTTGATATATTTTGTTACCATATAAGAATTTATGAGTATTTATGGATATGAGTTGTAAAATGAAATTCAAATTGGAGAACCAAAACAATGACATGTGGCGTATTATTGATTTAATAGCTTGACACATGGCAGAATGAGATTAACCCTATTCATTTATTAGATAGGGAGATATCCCAAACACATTTGTTCTTTCCTACCAGCACCACCATTGATTCCAAACTGAAATTGTTGCTCCTAGTTCAGTTCATATAAAGATCAGAGAATCAATTTGACTTTCTGAAACCGATTTCAACGATTTTGATTAAAGAAAAAGTTTTCTTTCCTACCAGCACCACCATTGATTCCAACGATTTTGATTCAAGAAAACATTTTCTGAAACCGATTTCAAGAAAACATTTTGATTTAGAAAATCAATTTCATATATCGACTTCAAGCAAACATAGAAAATCGATTTCTGAAACCTATTTCAAGCTACATTTCGATTTAGAAAAATCGATTTTAAAAACCAATTTCAAATAAAACATTTTGATTTAGAAAACGATTTCAGTTCTTACACATAGACATACCGATAGTGATGGTTGGTGAACCCTTGAAGACAACATTGACGATGATTGATGAAGGAAAGGGCAACGATTTTCCACTACCAGTAGTATTGGTGGTCAATCGATGATTTAAAATGGAGATGTGAACAACGACGAAGACATGGAGGTCACTGCAACTAGTAATGGTGGAGACTAGCGATGCTAGAGTAACATTGCAAAAAAAATCGAGTGTCTTTTTTTCTTCATATTTGAATATATAATTGTGTTTGTGTACATGGATTTTTCCAATTTTCTTGTTCTTGTGTAACACCCGATTCAATATATTTTCAGTTTAGACCCTTGGGGTGTAAAAGTTTAGCAGAATTGGTTCCTAGGGGGCAGATTTGCCAACTTCAGGAAAATTAGACTACGTTGGGCGTACTAGTGCATTTAGGATCGCGGATTCAATCCGCATACGTTGGGCATACGTGGAGTACGCATGACGTACGAGAGGAATAATGAAACCCTAATTTTTAGGGTATTGCACCATATATAAGTCATATGATAGTCTAGAGCAAGTACGTTAAGCGTACGAACTGAGTACGCTCCGCGTACTCAGCAGTGGGCTTCAGAACTTTGGGCTTCTCGATAATGGGCCCATTTTTGGACCTTAGTAGTCTTGGGCCTTGTTGGACCATCATAATTCTATTTTTGGGTTTATGCTTTTTATTGGACTCCTTTGGTTGATGTAACACCCCAACTCTCATGTATAAATTTTACAGCTTTATTTCCACTTTAAAGGGTCTACTCGACGAGTCGGATGCCCTTACTCGTCGAGTAGGAACGAAATCAGCCGCGTGTTTTAAGTGACCAACTCAACTAGTCGGAGGACACGACTCGACGAGTTGGTGCTGGTGGATGAAACCCTAATTTTCAGGGTATTGCACCCTTTTTAAAGGGTGATTAGCCCCCCTTGGCCTCCCTTACAGCCCCCCTTGAGCTCAGAAACCCTAATTCGTATTTACTCTCCATATTTGTGTGTTTTAAGCTTGGAAGGTGGATCTTGGTGAGAAGGACTTGAAGTTCAAGAAGCTTGGAACAAGGAGGAGTGTAGATCTGAACTCTATTCCATATTAGCATCACATTAAAGGTAACAAGTCGTTACCTTGGCTCTCCATTAGCTAGATCTCTTCATTCAAGGGTTTAGAACCCTTTTGTTGTGGTATTTTCTGGATTTGGGGCAAGATCTGAGGTTGCAACTTCAGATCTGGACCCCTTTAGCCCCTTATGGTCATAAAGTTTCAGTCTTTGCCAAGCTATGGCCTTTTCTTTTCCTTAAGCTTCTTCTTTAGCTTGGTTTTGGCTCTCAAGACCTTGCATGCACGTAAAGTTTGCAACTTTACGTGGTAACTAGGCCCTAGGAGGATAGATCTACCATTTGGAGCTTTGGAATGGATCAAAATCATTTGGACAAGAAATGGACTGTATGAACTCGACGAATCAGATAAGGAACTCGACGAGTTGGGAAGGGTTTTCCCATTGTTTGGTTTCTGAATGGACTCGGCGAGTCAGCAGAGGACTCGACGAGTAAGTTAGGGTTTTCCCCGACTTCTGGAAACGCATAGACTCGACGAGTTGGTCGTAAACTCGACGAGCCAGTGAGGGTTTTATGACCTTCTGAACCCTTAAGGAACTCGACGAGTTGCTAGCTGCACTTGACGAGTTGGGTCAACATGGACTGTTGATTTTGACCGTTGACTTTGACTTGGACCAAGGGTTGACCAGTTTGACCTCTGGGGTATTTTGGTAATTTGGGAATTTATGGAAGCTAGTCATCGGTGGATGTAGGTGTTGG